TAAATAATTTAAAAAAAAAAATCTTAAAATAGTATGTCATAAATGTTTTTCTAAATTTTTAGATTACTATTTTTAGTAAATAGTAATTCTTTTTATATATATATAGAATATAGATATATATATTACTACCTCCTATTCTTTTTAAATATCATTTTGGCATTATCAACTATTAACAAAATAAATGTCCTTTTGGATATTTTGTACATATTTTTCTATTATTACCCTCATCTAGCTAATATATACACTGCGGCTTTTCATATTCACTTTTCACCTTTTCTCAAAACATTCATCTTCATTAATGAGGGTTATTATTGGCAAAAAAGATATTCTTAATAACTGTGCAACTTCTCAAAACGACATTTATTATGAATAGGAGGGAATATATATTAGAGAATTATATTTTTTCAATAGTTACACAAATTTTAAATAAAAATATTATATTTAAAAATTTCGATTAGACAATTATATTTTTTTCAATAGTTATATAAATTTTTAAATTAAAATATCATATTTTATAAAAATATAAACATAAATAAGATGTATGAATTTTATAAAATAAATATACATATTTTTATAATAATATGGGAAAATGTTAAGGTCCCGTTACGGAACCATTTCGTCGGGGTTTGTAACCGTTAGATCAACTATCCCGACGGTTACAGAATGATCTAACGGTTACAAATCCCGACGGAATGGTGCCGTAACGAGACTGTAGCATTTCCCAATAATATGACGGCCTAACAGCAGTAGTGACTGATATAAATAATATTTGTACTTTCAACGGAAGGAAAAAAAGAAACACTCAAAAGTCCAAAGGCGAAAGCGGTTGGGTCGATAGTCACATATAATATTTTTCTGTTTATTTTATTTATTATTTTTAAAAAAAAAATTAAAAATTTGTCCTTTTATTTTATTTTATTTAATTATATTTTTCACTCAAATCTGATTTTGTCGGTCACCGGAGATCATGGTGGACGGCGTCGGCGAGTACGATAACAAGCCTATCGAGGTACGGGCCATTGAGGCTTTGGGCCAGGGCTTCGACTTCGCCAGCGATTTCAGGCTCAAGTTCGTCAAGCGATGCCCTTGCGGCGGCGGCGCCGGCGACGGGGGAGACGGCGGTAGCTTGCTTCTCTTAGACCACCACCGCAGGAGAGACGTCGTCCTGCCGGGAGGCCTCACCATACCAGATGTGCCTGAATGCATACGAGTCGATAAAGGGGATCACATTCGCTTCAAGTCCGATGTGCTCAAATTCAATCAGGTCAGTATTTTGATCGTGTTTCAATTTTTGCGCGTGTAAAAAATCAGGCTTCTAAGTTTGAAAATCCCTTCATCGTGGCCGCTAATGTGTGGAGAATTGAAATATTTTGGCAGATGTCGGAGCTGCTCAATCAGAAATCGTCGGTACAGGGAAAAGTCCCGTCGGGATATATGAATGCTATTTTCGATTTGAGCGGAGCCTGGTTGAATGATGCTGCGGACGCCAAGTACTTAGCTTTCGATGGCTATTTCATCTCGCTGTACTATTTGCATCTCACCGCATCGCCTTTAGTTCTTCGCGACGATGTCAAGAAATCTGTTCCGTCTCAATGGGATCCGGCAGCACTGTCCAGGTAATTTTTCATGGTGAGGAGAATGAAATTTCACTGTTGAAATTTGAACTGGTACAAAACGTGTATAGTGTATAGTGCTCTCAATTCTTGGTTAGCTACCTTACTTGATGGAGTTTCTGGGTGGCAGTGTTTAATAAGTCCAGTTAACTTCTTTTCTTTATTATCTCTGAGGAAATAGCTATGGTTCGTATTCTGATAATACTTTAATGCGTTAAGATTGCTCGAGTAAGGTCCGGTGGATTAGTTGACATAATTAGTGCCTCAGTTTACTTGTTTGTCTAATAAAACAAAAGCTTGAGATAAAATGAGGTATGAGGGGAAAAAAGACCTTAGTGATTAGCCGAATAGTTGGACAAACTAGGTTGAAAGCCGTCCGATACTGAAGGTGATAGGTGATTCTATCTTTCTACATATCTTCTTAAGCTGATTCGGCTTATCCTTGTTTCTTTTTCCATATTTCTTTGAGTTTCCCACTTTTACTTGTCATGCTAGCCACGGTTGTGCTCCTGCCTATTAACAGTTATTTCATCACTAAGCTTGGGCAATTGTGTCATACATGCCCAGCCATTTTCGGGTTGTGATTGTTTATCAGCTTTTATGGCTAAAACACTATTTCAGCTGATTTAATTGGAGAAAAAGCACTTAAAACTGATGATTAATTACTAGTTTCTCAACTCAGTGAATTGGAAGCTATCCATTTGGAATTAGAGCATTGAGTTCACTTAGGTGGCAATTCGATATAGAATGGTTTTATTTTTGTACTAATAAGCCACCCGACCGTTGCCCATGTGGGTGAATTATAATTAAATAAAGGAAAAATGTTCATAGAACATGTATAAAGATAATAAAAAACATGTATAAAGATAATAAAAAGTAGGATGAAAATTTTATTTAATACATTTTGAAATGTTTTGCTAAACATTACATTAGTAGTGGATGAATTGTATTCATCATCACAATTATAATCATAAAAAATAATCATAAAAAAATAGGGATTAGTGACTCTAGAAACAACAATATATAATTGATCGTCACTTCACAATACCATATGGCTTTTTCTTTCCGTAAAATTTTAATTTAAATACATTTAACTTAAAAAAACATTTGTGATGTTTAATGAAAAAAGGTATTCGTTACATTAAAGACCCTCCTTGAAACTTTTTCTAAAAAATATTTCGATAATAACATTATTTTTTGTCCATTGCAAATGGAGCTGGAAGAGTCACTGTTCACAATTCTCCTGGCATAATGCTAATAATGGACTAGATCAAAATGGCTCAATTAAATTCTAGTGTTTTTTCTATTAGTAAAGTTTCTAAAAAAAAATACGCAATGTACCTTGGTCGCTACGGAAACAGCCTCCTTGTATAATTACAAGGGTAAGGTCTGCGTACAACTGACCCCTAGACCCCAACCAGTTGGTAATATACTGGGTATGTTTTTGTTGTTGTTGTTGTTGATAATAACATTATTCTGATCATATCTGTAAAAAAATAAATACATTATTACTGTTACAGGTAAAATGATATAGAATAATTGAAATAAACATGTACAAACATGAACCAATTAAAATTAGAAAATATAAGTTAAATACATACGAAAAAAATATAAAAATGACTCAATTTCGACCACATGCATTTAGTTGAAAAAATTGGTCCACATATTCAATTTTTTTAGTTGAAAAAATTAATTTCAATAATTTATTTATTTGCAAAATAAGTACAAGATGAATCATTTTTTTGTAAAGTTGCAAATAGACACAACAATGGTTAATGTTTGCATCAATAACAAATTACTTATTTTTAGTATGTAATCCATGCGAAATGTAATTTAATATAATTTCTAGAAATGTATATTGATAGAATTTTGGTAAAATATTAAGAAATAAACATATAAATTAAATTATATAAATTATAAAAAAAGTAAAACTTAGTTTGATAAACTTAACATTTATGATATATATCTGATAAGAAAAAAGTAGTTGTTGCATTATAGTAAGCCGTATTGAACTTTATCCTTAAATGAACATGTGTTATAATTATAAAAAAGTCACAATAATTGACACATTATGATATTTTTATTCCTAAAAAGTTATAGTTGCATAATTGTGGATCAATAAAGAAAATTAAAATGAGGGCAACCACTTAGTTGATATTGGTAAAGAACCTCAGACAAATTTTGATATCCAAGTAAAGGATATTCACTATTTTCGAGATATATTTCATATAGGTATGCATATTCGTCCCCAATATACGCAAATGATATTCATTTATTTATATGAAAAATACATCCATTTTAACTGAATAAATTAGATGATTTATGACAAATATAAATCTAGTTTTATCTATCTCTCTATGTTTGTATTTTTTTTAGTTTTCATACAATTTTATTCGAAAATGCAATAAAAAATATGAAATTTGGTTGTGTAAGTTTGTAATTTGTTATTAATCAGATTAATAAATCTTGTATCAAATTTTGATATTTGAGAAATATCGCCAATAATAAGCGTATATTTATTTCATCAAGTGTTAACCATTGGTACTCTTTTTATATAAAATAAATCGAATCACCATTATAGTTTATGTATGCTATCTTATCTCCATATATGGTTATAAAAATGTGCAACATATTTAAGTTATTATGCATAAACTAATAAATGTGGTATTTTTTTTTAATTAAGTCTTTGTAACAAATAGTTACTTTTTGTTGTTATCCAAATAGGATTTGACAAATTTATTTCAAAATTTATTTGGCCATGAATGTTGTAGTGCAAGTCCCAGTGCATAATTATGTATCAATTTAGTTATTTACTTAAACAAACAACTATACATATTGTTTTAATGATATATCATACTTAGAAATTGAATAAAAAAACTATTCTTGATAATAAATGTAGTTTTTGAGGGTTTTCTTTTCCTCCAAGTTACTTAACTTATATGTGTGTGTGTGTGTGCGTATGCGCGCGCGTGTTAATATTATGACATGAAAGCACATTTTGAGGCATTGTTAAAAGAAAAAAAAACATCAATTTTCTTTTATTCAAATAGTTATGTTACTCATGAAGGGAAGGAAAAAAAAAAAAAAAATTGATGAAAAGTTAGAATGCAAATTTCACACTAAGTAGTTATTTGTAAAATGAGTATTTTTAACCAATAATTATATTTTGTTGTTTGAATATCTACATAGGAATTAACAAATTACTTTTAAAATATAGTTTTTCGTGAAACTTCTAAATGCATGAATATATAAATTTATGTATTTATTGGTAAAAAATAATTATAATTATTATACTAATTATAGATCATATATAAAAATGGATAAAATTTATTTCTAGGTAATTAATGTAGTTTTGGAGAGATATTTTTTTTTTTTCCAATCTACTTCACTTATATATATATATAATGTCCTTACATGATTTATTTAACTAAAGTTTCAATTGATAAGAAAAAATGTATCATTCATTCGTTCTCAAACTTTTCTGTTCAATCTCATCAACATGATTTGAAGATAATTATTAATCATCATTATACATTTTCAACAAAAATCACTATCATCCACACCTAAAATTATAACCAACAATCATTATTAAGTAATAGTTTACTATTTTTATATCACATCAACTCTAATTAATATATCTTTCTTATATTCATTCTAAATCTAAAATATATTTCACTTATCTTAACAATAGCTTTCTCCACTTCTACATCTTTATTATCCAAGTGAGATATTTTGTTAAAGAAAAAAAAATTCTTTATCCATTGGGTATCTTTTTATTCAAAATTAGTTTTTTGAGCTTACTGTCGGTACTTGTGGGGGAGAGGGCACGAAGTGGATTAATTTCATTATTTCGCATTTGGTACCAGTATCATAAAATAATTTAATGGACTAATTTCCCTATTTAGAATTGATGTATACTTATTTATTTGAATTTTTCAGTATTCAATGTAATAAATAATTTAGGAAACATAATTTATTGTTGCCCAAAAATATTATTTACCTTTATGTTTAAATATTATGACTCCGAATTTGTTTATCTTTTTATCTCTTCTTTTTCTTTTTTTTTTTTGTGGTTCTATATTTTTAATCACTTATATGTTCAATTTTTTAAAATATAAATGATTTGTAATTTTTAAGTGACTATTAACTTGTAACAGAAAGAAAAATATAGAAGTACAAAATATTCTTTCGTGTAATTTTACGTGTTAATGGTTAATAGTAAACAACTAATTTTACCAATCATCACTTCACAAATAATTAATCATATTCGCTGGTGAGAACATGTAATACTATCCACTAGTAAAAATTGCTAACAGAATTTGGTTAACTTCTAACCGTTGATTATTATTATGAAAAATGGCCATAGAGAAAAAGAGCACCCCTTCGTGTTGTTTCATCTACTAACCTTGATAATTACTGTTGAGCCGGAAGACACCTTCAATTTCCCATATACACCTCTAATTTCCAATTTCTGGTTTATATAAATTTTCCTCGATTGTTCTCAAACCAACATAACCCCATTAAAATTATAGTGTCATTTGGAACAGGATAGAGTAGTACATTGGTTATGTCAAAAGAATTAGTTGGGGCAACCGATGAGATAGAGGTGGCCGTTGGGATAGGGGACCGGCTCTAGGTAGCTGTGGGATAAAAAATTTGGGAGAATAAACAGAACAAAGGAAAAATAAAGCAAAAGGAGAGGTAGAGACACAAGGTTAAGATGAAAGAGAGGTGGGGGTGGGGGATAGAATTATTATTCTTGAGGGTCTATTCTCATCAAAGATACCCAGTCCTAGTTAGTAGCACTGGACAGTGACACCTAAATACTATGCAAATTTAGTGGCTACAAATGGATTCCTCAATAATCACTCCAATCCATTCCTGTGACATATCTAGTGGTTTTGTAATTGACTTTTATTGTGACATGAAGACCATTACTCCTGAAAACCTAAAGTTGCCAAATCTTAAATAAAACTAGTTCATTTTAGCTATCCCTTGTTGATTCACCTATATTGATAACTGGACTCCAATAATTTATTTAAGTTGACTGCCATTGGCCTCCTCTCAAACATCATTCATGTTTATATTTTATAAGCTAATTAAATTAAAAGGTAAAAAAATGCCAATCAAAGATATTTTTGCATATGTTAACTTGTTCTGTATTGCACGTAACATCAACTCCCTCCTGATGTGAACTTAAACCAGATTTATCCGAACCTTTGGAACACATATAGTTGTGGGAATGGCAGTTGGAGGCCAGGATTTGCTGTGTGTTAAACAGAAGCCATCTTCTCCAATTCCACCTGCTGAACTCAAAGGATATTTGGAAGAACTTGGAGATTGCTTGTTCTCTGATGCCAGTAGTCCCATATTGGAGAGAATAGCAAAAGATAATAAGGTGTGTGTAACTGTGTTTAGATGTAAGGACTTTATGTCAGGTCTTTGTCCATCCTTTTGTCGTTTCCCTTAGACATATATATACAGTTATAGTAACATCCGTAAAAAATGCAGTTTCCGGAGGTGTTTGGTCGTATGCTACAATCGCATACCATGCAGTTCACCAGCATCACAGAAACATCAAGCAAGGATGTTAGTTACCTCACCTCATCATTTATTACTTGTAAGTATAATTACCTTATTCGACTCATGCTGTAATTGGTACGTTGTAATTTTTATAGGGACTCACTCTTATTTGGTCAAAAAGAGGAGGTGATGTGTTTACACAAAGTCACTCCAGGTGGCTCCAGACCATGGCAGCTAACCCAGAAGCTGTACTTCTCAAATTTGTACCGATTACCTCTCTTCTGAATGGGATTCCAGGGAGTGGCTACCTTAGTCATGCCATTAACTTGTACCTACGATGTATGATTTTAGAATCTCTGGCCTGAATATTGCTTTTTCCCCCTTTTTATTCCCCATTCCATTGTCTATCTAAACTAGTAAACATGTGTTTTGCATTAGTTTATCATTTTGCTTTTGTATGGACTTTGACTTGCATGCTTCTTCTTATTTTTTTTTT